AAGCAGTTGTCACAAGGATTTAATTTTGCATCTTTGGCAAAGGGAATAAGTGACTTCTTTGCCAAAATCTGTAATCCTTTTCTCACTCATGTGACCCAGCCTTTTGTGCCACAAATTTGGTGACGTTTCATCTTCTGCCGCGTTGAGGCTATTTGAATTCACCTCCACACGAGTCTTGTATAGTGTGCCAATTGCCTATCCTTTGGCTACCACGAGAGATCCCTTTTTCAACTTCCATATGCCTTTGCCAAAGTAGTTCTCATAGCCTTGTCGATCTAAGGCTATCCCTGAAATAAGATTCAGGCGTAAATCGGGAACATGCCTGACATCTTTCAACACCATCGTGCACCCAACTTTAGTTTGGATATGAACATCACCAATTCCCACAATTTTTGAAAAACTGGAGTTACCCATTTTCACTGTACCAAAATCTCCAGCTTGGTACGTACTGAAGAACTCCTTCTGGGATGTAGCGTGGTAGGAAGCTGCTGTATCTACCACCCACTCGGTGTCATTGTCTGACATATGGAGGCATTCTTCTTCTTCAACAGAGAATAATGCAATATCCTCTGAGACAGAAACTGCAGTGGTCCCATCTTCGGTCTTTGGCTGTCTATTGCCTTGTTGTTGTTCTCCCTTCAAGGCATAGCAATACTTCTTTATGTGACCCTCCTGGCTACAATGGTAACATTTGAACTTTGGCCGGCTCGTACCTTGTCTGGATTTCCCTCTGTCTTGAGATCTTCCTCTGCTGTGCCCTCTACTTTTGCTTCTTCCCCTGCCCCTGCCTCTACCTCTACTTTTATTTTCTGTGACGAGGGCATGGGATTGATCTCCACCAATTTCTTTCTTTCTTGCCTCTTCACTAAATAAAGCATCTATAACTATGCTCATGGTCAGTTTCCCTTCTGGGGCAGAGTTGCTGAGAGACACCACCAATGTCTCCCAACTGTCTGGCAAAGAACTGAGCAGTAATAGGGCCTGCATCTCATCATCTAACTCCATTTTGACAGTTGTTAGTTGGTTCACCAAATTTTGAAACTCACTGGTATGTTCAGCAACAGAGATACCGCCTTTCAACTTCAAATTCACAAGTCTCCTCATCAGGAGGGCTTTGTTCCGAGCAGTCTTCGACTGGTACATGCCTTCTAACTTTATCCAGAGAGCATAGGCATCAGTCTCCTGGGCGACATGGTGGAAGACACTGTGATCAATCCATTGTCTGATCTGGCCAATGGTCTTTCGGTTCTTCCGCTTCCAGTCTTCGTCTTTTTCCGTTGGTGGTTTAACTCCATTAAGCTCAATGGGGTCAAACAAATCTCGGCAATACAAGACATCTTCCATTCTGGGCTTCCAAATGGCATAATTGGAAGCATTTAACTTTATCATGGAACCTGAAGTCGACGTTGGTTCCTCCATCATACAAAAATGATCTCTGTTTGAAAAACAGGCTTTGTTGTGAAGTCCGGACTGCTCAAATTAGCCCGAAAAACACTTCGGATTGTCAAAAGAAAAACGGCAAATTTTTGAAAGCTTATTTGCAAAATATGACCGTACGGATGTGTCCGGAATACTCCAAATAGTCGAAAACCACTATTGGATCAGCAAAAACGGACTCCAAATGGCTTCGATCTAGCCAAAACATTTTGTACGCCTCAGATCTGCGGCTGCACCATAGCCGCGTCGCTTCGGATTTTTCTTCAGAGTGATGACGTGGCGAGGACGTGTCTGCCACGCGTCGATGACGTGTCTGCCACGTGGCGATGATTGGACAATGACGTGGCGACCACGTGGCAGCCCCTAGTTGACAACTGTGCCATGTGGTGAAATGACGTGGCGCGCGCATTGATGGCGCGTGTATGGCACGTGCTGTTCCCTCAGTCGTCGTCCTCCTTGTGCCGCGCGTGGGGCGCGTGGGTGAGATTGGGACTACGCGCCGGGTGCCTGCACAGCGCGTGTGGGCGCGTAACGCGACTAGGACTCACGCGCCAACTTCCAGGGGCGCGTGAGGGCGCGTCCGACCTCCGTTGGGTGTTTGCTTTATATTTCTGGACTCCTCTCGTCGAGCCCTTGCTCCTAGTATGCTCAAAATCTGATTTCGAGCAATACGATTTCTGGGCAGTTTCGAAACAACACTCTGTTTTTTCGAAAAACGTACAACTTAGCGCTGATACCACTTTGTTAGGATCAAACACACCCAGACAATTATCTCACACACATAGAGAACACAATATTTACGTGGTTCGGCCCAATGCCTACATCCACGGACAGAAATGAGAATTTTCATTAAAATGGAGCAAAAATTCAAATACAGAGGTGGAGATGAAACTCACTCAACTCACAGCTCTCACTCTCCAATTTCTGATGATACAAACCCCTCCTCACTCATCTCAATTTATAACCAAGAGAGGAGGAGTAGGTGAAGTGCTAGCCATAATTGGCCAAGGTGGTGCCACCCTCACTATCTTCCTTTAGTGAGTTGGTGTTGCCCTCCACCACCTTCTTTTACCACATGGTGCCACCCACACCATGTGGATGGTGGGCTCCTTACCATGTGGGTAGTGGATGGAGCCAACAGCCTTCCATGAGGATGATAGTGCAGATGTTGGAAGAGGCCGAGCCTTGTAATTTAATAGGCATAATTGTCAGTAAAGGCGGCGAAAACAGTAAGAGCTGAGGAGTTGGAGAACAATAGCAAGTTCAATGACACAGATTCAATTGGAAGAGTAGCTCTTAATCTGGGGACTAATAACACAGTAGACAATTCAAGTGAAGATCTGTGTAAACATGGCACGCCTCAATTTGTTGCCAATAAATCAACAAGTCCATTAGTTTATATGATCAGATTGTAATGTTTATTTGGTAATAAATTCAAATGCCAAGCTTGCTAGTTTAGCTCTTTTTAGCCTGTAAGAGAGGGAGGCAGAGAGAGACGTATGTAATGATATGAAATACAATTATTTTTATTCCACTCATTTGCAGGTGATGAACTACTGAGTATAAATGGAATAATTTGAGTTTTTTTTTTTTTTTTTTTTTTTTTTTGAGAACATGAAAACCTTTATATTAAAACAACAATAACATACAGAAACAAGATCCAAAGGGCCATACAAACCAAACAACAAAATGAAAAGAAAAAAAAACAAATAACAAAAAATTCGTCAAAAAAACTAGTTATGATCTAGGAAAAACCACCAATATTCTCAAAATTGTGGTCTGGAGGCCAAAATTTGCCTGAAAGCCTGTCGTCCCCATCGTTGCTGCCCAACTCCGCCGCTGCCGCCGTACTTCGGACAACACCAGAAGATAAAGTTGGGGAGGAAGGCTTGAGAGAGGAGGGGAATCATTATAGGTGTTGAAAATCCAAAAATCTATGCAGAAATCAGGGAAGAAAACTCTCAAACTACTATTTCAGATATAAAAAATTTAGATCTACACTCTAAAATTGTAGATCTATACCTTAGGAGTGTAGATCTACACTTTAGTAATGTAAAAGGAGTTGTCGGAGTCTCGTCGGAGCACCGCCAGAAATCTCCTAGAGAGAGAAGCTCTACTCTCACTCTCTTGAACTTTTTTTTTATATAATTTGAGTTGATTATGCTGCATTGTATACTTCATTTGTCAAGTAATGGGAAATAATTTTTAAAAAAAGAGGACCTCAGTGCCACCAGTGTACACAGCTTTACCCAACATGATTGACTCGTATTTATTACACATGAAGGCCTTTCTCCCTTTATGAGCAAATTGAACATGCAATAATGAGAAGGATGGGATCAGGTCCATTGGCTTTGATTCTTTATTCTATCTTATCCCTTTCTCTTCAAAGTACAAGTCTTATACTTCAAGATTGGTAGAAGAACCAAGAGAATAGGATTCTTTAATTGTGAAGCTAGGACTGTGATTTCATCCAAGGAAATTCTTCGATTTTACCTGATTCATCATGACTGACTTCAAAAATAAATCTAATTGGGCTTTTGGTTATCAAGCTAAACCATGACATAAAGAATGCCGTTAAAATCAATCCGGAGCACCGCCGGAAATCTCCTAGAGAGAGAAGCTCTGCTCTCACTCTCTTGAACTTTTTTTTTTTATATAATTTGAGTTGATTATGCTACATTGTATACTTCATTTGTCAAGTAATGGGAAATAATTTTTAAAAAAAGAGGACCTCAGTGCCATCAGTGTACACAGCTTTACCCAACATGATTGACTCGTATTTATTACACATGAAGGCCTTTCTCCCTTTATGAGCAAATTGAACATGCAATAATGAGAAGGATGGGATTAGGTCCATTGGCTTTGATTCTTTATTCTGTCTTATCCCTTTCTCTTCAAAGTACAAGTCTTATACTTCAAGATTGGTAGAAGAACCAAGAGAATAGGATTCTTTAATTGTGAAGCTAGGACTGTGATTTCGTCCAAGGAAATTCTTCGATTTTACCTGATTCATCATGACTGACTTCAAAAATAAATCTAATTGGGCTTTTGGTTATCAAGCTAAACCATGACATAAAGAATGCTGTTAAAATCAATCACCTTTTAGAAGAATTGAATCTTTTAATATCATCTTATTTCTTTTAATTGCAGAAGCATTCCGATAAGTATACACACAACAGTCCTCAAGTGCATAGGGGTGGCTTTATTTTTTGTAGCTACATGCGTTTGTTCACCCATTTAAAAAAAAAATATATATATATATATGTCTACATATTTTGTCAAATTTTGTTAATTATACCAATAGACTAAATAACAACTTCATTTACACTTTGATTAAGCAATTTTGTTTTACCTTTATCGTCTTTCAAGTTAATTACATGCCTAGTGAGCTTACTTCAAGAAGTTTAAAGCTACAGTGTCTAAAGTCAGGATAGTGGTATCACGATTATTTCTTCATGTAAACACTACAAAATAATATATATATATATATATAAATCACAAAAAATTCTGTTCAAGGGGGAAAAAACATAGAGTACATGACTTCATAAAACTGAAATGATGCAGACTTAAAAGAATGAAACAATTTATTGCATGTCTGTGTAGATGAATACACACAAATACATTAGTTACCTCAACTATTACAAAGTTGCACAGCGTTGTGTATGAAATGGAAAGTAAATAAATTTAAACAAGAAAATATAATTCAATAAAAAATTGAACAAGAAGAAGACAATAACACTTTGCCTAAGCCACTTTCCTTGCGCAACACTTGGGTATGTGGACGTTGGGAAAATTTGGCTCCGTTGGAATGGTTAAAGGCCTTTTTCCCTGTGACAATGACCTGGAAGCAGAGGAAGTAGCAGCTTTATTTGCATGGCTAATATCACTATGGCTTGGCTCTCCTGCTTCCTCAGACCTTGAAGCTGTTGATGATATTTCCTTTATCACAGTGTGTTGTTTACCATAAGCCATTGCCTTCTTCGTTGAAGCAACCCTGAAAAAGTGTATACTAAATCAGTCTTATGGAGAATTTTTCATAAATCAAGGATGAGACAATACTAAACCAAGAGTAGTACACACCCTTTGGGACTAATAAACTGTTCATGCTGTGAAGATGACTTCGTCTTTCTTAAGTTGTTTTCTGATTTTTGACTATTAACATCCCTGCCATATTCAAGTCTGAAGGTTATTGGTTTAGGGTTTTGTTGTGTTGATTTGGAACATCTCTGTGGGGTTATGTTTGGATATGCTTGTCCTTCTGAAGCTGTTCGACTCTGTTTCTGCAAATTACAAGATAAAGAATTTTTTCAGGAAATCTCAAACTTTTGAACCTTACAATAACAGAGAGGAATTTAAAAGTGTACAAATAAGTAAACAACTGAAAATGAAGATGACTTACGGGTTCATCCTTTTTATAATTTTTCTGTAATTCATTTCCACTGCTTTCATTTGTATCGTGATTGCACTTTCTTTGTTCAAGGCACTTGTCATTTCTCTGCGATCAAATGCAAATTATTTGTGTAAGATAAATTGATAGAGAGAGAAGGAGAGAATAATTTGTATTGATGAATATTGTATTGAATGTTATATGAATAAAGAGGTACACTCTCCGTTATATAGGAGAGAAAATTACAAACATCATCATGCCAAAAGTGGATCCAATAACCGAAAGTAAAGGCACTAATCTAAAGCCTAAAGCACTAACATAAAATATATTAACAGCCCCCCTCAAACTCAAGGAGGATAGGTACTAACCAACTTGAGTTTGGAGAGAGTAACAAAACAGAAAAAATAAACTGATAAATAAAAATTAAAAATGGGATAGGAGGCACTGTGTGGTCGTGTCAGATCGATGTAGAAGACAGTTTATGGGGTCGTGTCGGACCGTTGTAGCAGACAGTTTACGGGGTCATGTCGGACCGGTGTAGCAGGACACTGTGTGGTCGTGTCAGACCGATGTAGAAGACAGTTTATGGGGTCGTGTCGGACCATTGTAGCAGACAGTTTACGAGGTCATGTCGGACCGATGTAGCAGGACACTGTGTGGTCGTGTCAGACCGTTGTAGCAAATTGTGGTGGTGCACCAAGGGGGTGACTTAGGGAGTGCGCCATGGGCGACTTATATATGATACTGTGTATAACCCCCCCTCAAACTCAAATAGGTGTGAAGATAGAAACCTATTTGAGGTTGAAACAAAGGGATTGATAAAGTTGACCGGTGTAGAAGACACTGTATGAGTGTGTATATAGGCTGCCTAAAAGATATACATGGATATATATAACGAGCCCTCAAAAGTCGTGCCCTCAAAAGGTGTGCCATCAAAAGGCGTGCCCGAGTCATGAAAAGGCGTACCATGAAAAGGCGTGCCAGGTTGTCGGTGTCAAGAGGCGCGCGATGCGCATGGCTGCCTCGGCTATTTAACCAAGACAGAGCCTGAGGCCGAGGCAGAAGCAAGAAACCTACGAAATCCTCTGTAAAACTCTGTGTTGTGCTGAGAGAGAGAGGCTGTAACACTGTTGTGCGGAGAGAGAGAGTCTGTAACACTCTGTTGCGAGAGAAAAATGGCTTCGTCGTCCCGTGGTCTGCTGACTCTCTTTCCTGACCTCAACGAGTCAACAAGAGAGATAACGGGTGCGGTGGCCAGTGAACCTCAACCAAACACCACTGGGTTTGCTCCAATTGAGGGGTGAAAATAAAGAGTGTGATCACACACGTATATAAAGTATTTCATTATATATATATATATATATATATATATATGTA